TACGCTTCAAGCTATGCGCTTATGCCCAAAACACAGTGGTTGGGACCAATCAGCATCCTATGATGGAACTACCGGTAGCTATGGTAGGGCGTGGTTTAATGCTAGCTGTGTGTGACGACATGTGTGAAACAGCAATGGCGGCTAAATCTAAAGAGGTTAGCTGCTGGTATCAGTTCCATCAGAACTGGAGAGTATTCCTTCATTGGAAGAAGAGCAAAGAACTGAATTGAAGACTGTTTCACTGTTCTCCGGACTGGCTTTGGAAAGAGTTTGATCATGTTATATGGTTCGTATATCTGACTGGTTGAAGTGTGACCCGTGATAGACGGTTCTCTTTAGAAGTGCCTGCCCTTTTCACAGTTCCTAAAATATTTATATTTTTTTTAATATTACACAATTGCAATATTTTCTTTTAACATTTAATATGAATTGGTCGGCTTCTTTAGTCTTGCGTATGTTTTTCTTGTGTATTTTTTCCTAAAGCAGTGCTGACTTGCTCTCACTAAGGTATTTTGTGATTATTATAGCTTAATTGACTTTTTATAATTAGCTATTATTAAAAGTGTAAACAATTGCAACTGTATTTTAGAGCTCATCAGGGGTGATTCAGCGCTGGGAGCAAGGTGGGCCCAGAATCCCAGAGGATAAGGCAGCTGAAATGTTCTGCTAGAGGACTGATTTTGTTTGAACTGGGGATTTTGTTGGACATTGGGTCTGAACTGGATTATTATAATGTGGAACCGTGTTCTAAAAAAAAGGATTCTACCAGTTGGACTTGTTTTACAGAAATATGACAACAAGCTGTTGCAAATGCAGAAAGTGACTGAATTTGCAATCATTTTTGTGGCTGAAAATTCCTGGAGGGACTGATTAAGCTGAGATCCCACTCTTCATGCACACATTATTGCTCTGGACAAATAACTACAACTTTGACCTTTTGAAATAGGGCTGATTTGTTGTTTGTTGTCTTCCTGTGATTGTAGGAAATACATTTGTTTGCCCTTTAATTAAAAAACAGGTTGCAGTCTGGGAGGCCTGGTAATGTGCACAAGCAATATCATCAAAAACCTTGCAAGCATCACCCGGCTGTTTTTGTTTTTTTTGGTGCGTGCGTGTTGTTGAGGGCTGGCTGGTGAGAATGCTGTTTGGTTCTGTAAATTAGTTATCTATCTTCAATATTAATTTAAGTTTTTAGCTCTCAGCTACCTAAACCACTGATTTAAAATAAAAATACTGATACACTTTTTCCCAAAAAGTAAAATAAATCACATTTCATTTTGCTCCCTAAATCCAACGCATGCAGTTTTTTTTTACATCATCTAAGAATAACGAGTGTGGGAAAAGGTTCAGAGCGAGGGGTCTTTAAATCCCTCTCCAGACATTTTAAAGGTGAATGAATATGGAAGATTTCTAAATGCTGGGCGCACTTAAGTGCTCATTGCTTAGCTTTTTGCCAGTTAGCGCAAGTGGATAAACACATGGTTTATTGTAACCAAAATAGAGTCTAATGTGTCATTTGTGCATAATAAATTGGCAGCTTTCCCTGGGCCACTGGAAAGATATTTTAATTTATATTTCTGAATCAGGTTTTTTCATATGATAACAGTGATGGTCATACAATATGCTAAACACACCCATCACTATAATCTAACACTAGACATATTTTATGATATATGATAGGATTACACTGCTTGATGGTAAACAACAGATGGCAAGGGGATGTAGAGAACAGCAGAACTGAAAGTGATATTTGCAACTATAAATGTGTCTTAGGCATAAGCTTAAAAATAAAACTATGGGGCGCCCCAGTGACTCACTGGGTAGAGCACGTACCATGTGTCAAGGCTGAGTCCGTACCACAGCGGGCCATGTTCGAATCCGGCCCAAGGCCATTTGCTGTATGTCACCCCCCCTCTCTCTCCTCTGCCTTTTTCTCTGCACTGTCCATAAAAACAATAAATGCAAAAAAACACATTTAAACAATCTTACTAAGAGCAGGGTCTAGAAATATAACCCCCACATTATGACAGACAGCTCAAGCTGACAGCAGGGTTATCAACCAAACATAATACGCAAATAACATGCGTAGTTCAGTTCAGTTCAGATCTTCATTGTCCCTCAAGGGGAAACCTGAATTTCAGTAGAGAGCAATAACACAAACACAAAATACAAGGGGACATGGGACATTAATCACAAGTTACAGTGTTACAATGTAACAAAGGAGACAAAAGCTTTATTGCAAAACAATATCTGATCCCATCTTCAGATTTTCTGTTGTATCATTGTAAATTCAGTATTCTTGGATTTTGGATTGTCAGACAACAGAAGCCATTTGAAGTTGTAAATGTGGGCTCTAAGGAATGTTGATACATGTGATGCATATTTCACTATTTTGTGTAATTTTTTTAGATTAAAAGATTCAATAATTAGAAATGAGTTTCAGTCATTTTTAATTCACACTTCATGTGCTACAGTCCTGGAATTTTAATTCTAACATTGCAGCTTCTCCATGCCTGCATCAATAGAGTAGGAGTGTTTAAAAATGGCCATGTAACGATGCCCCACACCCAGATTTAACAGGAGTTCACCGCAAAGTCTAACTGACCTTGTTCACCATTGGATTCCTCTGCACACACACTTTTCTCACTGTAGGTGAGGACAAGTAATTAATCCACAATCCAGCACAGGCCGTGATATATTATAATTAAACACAGTTAAGGTTCGTCTTGTCGGCAGATTTTTCTGTATTCAATTACAAACTGTTCTACTTTAGAGGTGTAGCAGTTTGTTTTGCATCTCCAGGTATCTTAGAAAGTGTTTTTACATACTTTGATTAACTATTTACTTAATCTATACATAAAAAATGGCCAAATACACAGGCCTATTTACAGTCTAAATTTGAGTATCCACTATATACCCTCTACCTAATGTAGGGAGCTGTGAACTCTGGTTCTGTGACAGCGGCTAACATTTGTTTTATAGTTACAGCTGTATATTTTGATGTAATCAAATGTGTCTTCTTTATCAAGTGGTAGTGCTGATGGTTTAGCATTTAATTTGTGTCCCTGTGGCTGTTTGCCAGTGTGATTATTGACAATTCTCTCAAAGCACCACAGTGTCATCATGGCTGCTTTTACAGACTCCTGCTGCCATATATTTGTGTGTCAGAAGACAGAAAGAGGTGTGAAAACCCTCAAGTTTCCCCCAAGGGACCAATTGAAGGATCCCCCTACAGGCAGATGCTATCTGCATGACTTTATGTGTGTCTCTCTCTTGTGATGTTATCACTTCTCAGCAGACACACTTGCCAACACGTTCATGCACACAAAGATAAAGTCACAACACAACGGAGGAAACAGTGCATGGTTTACAACCAGCGTCTTAAAGGTTGTTTTACACCGTGCTGTACACTGATGAATTGATTTTGAACCCTGGCTGGATTTATTGAGGCTCAGCCATTCAACCTGGCTGATTAAAATAATAGTCAGAGTAAGCGGTGATGCGAAACTCAAAATGTTATTAGTCTTTTGTCTTCTGTCTATTTTGCCTTCACACTATTTCCTCTTGACTTATGGGTCTTTTTATTATTTCATTTTCTGTCTCTGTGTTTGTTCCAACTTTCCCTCACTTCACTTCTCTCCCTCAATAAATCCGTCTTTTTTTCAATGGTATTTTATTAAAAGAGCAGAAAATAGGCTACAATAAAGATACAGGAATAAACAGGATATGAAATATCCACTTTGAAGTTTAAATGAATAAGATATTGAAAAAGCAAAAAATAAAGATAATGCTTGAGGGTTGGGTTAATTTCAGGGTATCCAGGCAAATGACTAAACATTACACTAAATACATTAAAGAATGGACTTAAACTCAGCCAAGTTCCAACTTGATATTTTAGTGGAATAGAAATGCGGGCAACATAACTCAGTCGCTTGATAATTAGGAAAACAAATCACAGGTGTTATAAAAAGGACCCAAATCACACAAATTTAACCTTTTGCAGTGTACTATATAGGTCTACAAATTCATAGTCTGACTGAAAAATAGCAAGAAACACATAAATCAGATGATTTAATAGGGAGGCTGTCATATAAAATAATTACTTTAAATTGGCACTAAAAAATGCACATGTTTAAAAGAAAGAAGGAAATTACCAATAATTAATCCCAAATCCAAAATGTATCTTAAATAAGGAAGCCAGTAGATCCAAACCAAGGGATTAATTGTGTACATATAAACAAGACCTCAAATGAAACAATAAATCAGGAGTCTATAATGTACTTCATTGAAAAACAGTCTATTCAAGTTTAGGGCCAATTTTTGGATAGACTACATGATTGTACTTGCATATATATATTAATATATACATATATTAATACAAACTGCATATATATATGTATAGTACATGTACTACACACATACATGTTTTATGGCCAGTTTGTATGGCCAATTTCTGACCAGGTTCCAGTGCATCTCCATTAACATACTAAATATGGCATTACTGTAAGTTTGATCTTTGAAAATTCATGTCTCCTTTCTTCCTTTTCCCCCGATCTGTCCACTAATGCCATGCAGTGGGCGGGGCCGAGGGAGTGAGTGACGGCTCCTGCATTGAGCCTCTCTGCTCTGATCCGTCTGGGACTCAAGCTTCTCGCTGGTAACTGCCTCATCTGCCGCTGCAGAGCTCTCTCTGCCTCTCTCCCCTCCCGCTCTCATTATCTTTATCTGTACACACACCTCCACTCCCCTTTTTCTCTTTTTTTTCTAGCTTTCTGTATGCATTCTGCATCTTTACTGACTCCCCTCCCTGCTAACGGAGGTGGGCAAGCTTCCCAGTGCTGGTGCATCTAGCAGGTGCAGCCTCTTTCCCTCCTCCCTCCCTCTCTGCTTCTCTCTCTCCTCTCTCTCTCTCTCTCTCTCTCTCTCTCTCTCTCTCTCTCTCTCTCTCTCTCTCTCTCTCTGTTCCCTTGCTCTACCAGTGTGCACACTCCGCTCTGTCTGTGCCTGCGTTTTTTTTCCCCCCTTCTCATTCGTTCTCTGTCTCTCAGCGGCGGCAGCTCAGGGAGGCAGCTGTATGTGCGCCTGCATCACAGTTGCCACAGGTAAAGACAGCTGCATTGTCGGATGTTGCCAACCCTACAGGGGGTTGGGGAGCCTTTGCTGCTGCGGTTGCAAGTTCCCATCCCAGCGTGGGGTGCACATTTGTAATCATCTCCAAGAAAGCATCCTGGTGGGAAGGACGAGCAGAGGATCCCAGCAACCCGACCAACAAATCACAGGCTGACTGGAAAAAGCACAGGCTTTCAGGGACTGAGGAAAAAGCACCACTCAGAAAGAGAGAAGAGACAGTCAGTGGGATATTTTTAAACATTCTGGCCTCCTGTTTGTTTTATTCCTCTTATCTTTTGCTTTCTGCTCTTTCTGTTTCCATCATTTCCATCCACTCCCTGCTTCTCATCCTCTTCCTCTCTCATTTTATCCCTCTGTGGCGGAATGTTCCCTTGAAATAGATGAGAAGAGGATTTCTGAGTGCTTGCTGCAGTATTAACGGACAGTATACTGAGACAGCAGGGCGCTGAGCGGACAGCTTGGGGAAATCTGATCCACAGCCGGCTGGAGAAGGAGCGGGATCACGCGTCGCAGTTGCAGATTTATCCGCCCTGTGATACCACTGCGCGACAACACCCCTCATTCTTTTCTTTTTTTCCCCCTCTCCCTCTCTCTGTCCTCATCTGAAGTGTTGCTTTTTAACTGGATCTGGAAAATTAATTGGATTCTACTGCTTTATTTTTAGCCTCACTGGAATTTAGAGCACACATTAAGGAAGCAAAGTGGGTTTGGATCTTAAGAGTGATAAAGAAAATTCTCAAAAAAAGGAGAGGCTGATTGAAAAGCAATGGGCAACAAAGATAGCGGATAATCCAAGGAGAGTGTTTGACAGACGCATAAACGACAGATCTCTTTGCTCTCGCTCTCTTTCAGTTACAAAAGAGACAGATTTTGGGAGCTGAGGGACGCTGACTCTGCTAAAGCTGTTGGAACAGGCTGCATTGGGAAACATCTTTCTTTTTTTTTGGTCCTGCACAGGGTGGGGAAGCAACAAGACCCACCCTGCAAGTTTCAATGCCCTGATTAGACAACTGTCCCGTCGTGGATTGTATATTGAAGGGACATACATGCTTGAGAAATAGAAATAGCTGTGGATTTTTGCTGCAGTGCCATCCAAACACTGATGCCATAGATTCCTCACATGCACAGATGTAAAGCTCGCAACCTCCCATCTTTCTCTTTGTCCCTCTTTTCCCTGTTAGAAGCATCACTTCTTCCTCTCCTCTGGCTTACCCTGCTGTAAACGTTCTTGAAGTTTACTGTTGCTTCCGTTGGACATAGGGAGTTGGGCAGGACTAAACACGGACAAATCGGACGATTATCTGTTCACGCAGCTCCTTCATTTCTCACTTGGTGTGTCTCTGAGTGTGAGTGTGTGTGCTTGTGTGTTTGTGATTGTGTGTCTGCATGTATCTCCTGAACCCCTCCCCTTCTCTCTATCCTTGGATTACATATTTGTATACGTGTTATTGAGTGTTTAATTCCTGTGGGGTCCTTTTTGTATCCATTTCTTTCCCTTTGTCTCTTCTCAATGTCCGGCATTGTTGGGAACCTTTCTGTCATTTGCTACCGATGCCTATCACAGGGTTAACCCCCAATGAGCCATAAAGGACGGCAGGGAAGAATGAGTGAGTGTTCTGGGGCAGCTGTTTCCGGGGCGGTGATCCTGGAAGAACCTGAAGCTTCAGGGGCTTCAGGGGGCCGTGGTGAGGGCCAGGCCCAGGATCAGGGTCCCATTCGCTGTGCGGTTTGGCCTCGCCAGCAGACATGGCTGTGTGTGGTCCCCTTACTTATCGGTTTCATTGGCCTTGGATTGAGCCTGATGCTGCTGAAATGGATTGTTGTTGGTACTGTACGGGATTATGTGCCAACAGATCTGGTGGATGCTAATCGAATAGGCCAGGATCCTATCTTCCTGTCAAAGCCAAGTGGGATTCCCAAAGGTCCCGATACTACCACCACCACAACTACTCCCACAGTTGATGGTGGGAACCCCACGCCAAGAACTGTAACTGTTGCAAAAGGTAGAACTCGTTCCACTGCTACTACAACTACTATAAACCCTAGAGGGGGTGGAGCCTCGGGTAGCCAAGTAACCCCTCGGAATCCTGTAAATCGTAACGGACGTGGACCTTCGGGTTTTACTACAACCACTGCAGCGTCGCAGACGACCTTCATAATTAGGGTGGCAACATCTAGCCCCTCACCATCCAATCCTACAGTACTTCATGATTCTACGCAGATGTGGACCCCAGAGCATACTACTACTGAGGCGGTCTCCACCACAGCCTCCACGCGCACGCACAGCCACCGCAAAACACGTAAGTCACTTTTGTCAGTAAAATCTTGCCACGTGTTGTTCATCATTCAGAATTTAAAGAGCAATTTTGTTTTTGTTTTTTCGAAAGAAAAGTCAATGGAGAAAGAACCACTTGTTCATTGAGAGGAAGTCATTGAAAACTTTGAAGTGATTTGTCGTGAGTTGACTTGGTTGAAAAGATTAATGGGAAAATTCACTAATGGCATTCCACAGGTGGGTTGCCTTTTTACTGGCTGCAGTTTGTTAAAGGTTTGTCCAGTGGTTAGTTCTTTGTCATCAGTACTGATATTGGAACTTCAGTTTGATTCTTAATGTTAATGAGGTTTTGCAGTGTCTTTGTGATCGCTTGCAGTTGAAATGTACTACCATCCTGTTTTGGATATTTGACACTCTTGTAGGCTGAGAATTGCAGAAGAGTGATCAATAGCATTGATTGGTACAGTAAGGCTATATGATCTATTGCTGGACTCAATAATCAGTCTTTCTGCTGTGGATGGTTAGACTCCTCTTTGCTACATCACATGCTGTGATGTCCTTTTCCAGTAACATACAATGACTTTAAACTGGCGGTGCATACAGTGGGTTACGACTTTGGTCTTAAACAGAAAATGTTTGTATGGTTTTTGGTGATATATTGAGTAGGCTAATGTTAAACAAAGATTGGTACAAATCGAACTTATTTTTTTACAGGTACTACGTGCAATATGATTAGCTTAATGTGATTATTAAGGTGATATGTCTAGGATGAGGAAGAAAAAGATCAAGTTGAAACTAACTTGTATACATAATACATACTTGCTTACGTACTTCTGGGAGAGAGAGTGTAAATCCCCAAGTGTGCCATGTTCTATTGTGCAATAGTTTATAACAAGTTAGTTAAAGTGCTATTTGGATTGCACATGAGTTGCAGTAATGCAGTGTTCCAAATTAAAATGGACTTTTGGCTCAGTAAAGTCAAGGTTAGGTCTGGGGTGAATTATGTGAACATCCCTTGGTTGAAATTCTCCTGCACATTGGTCTTAATTTTAGAATAATTTCAAGCCATTTTAACAGATGGCAATAAGTTGTGGCAATAACCTGCAAACTGACAGCCAGGTAAACTGATTATTTGTTGCATCTGGAATTACTTCAAAAGTATCTAATTTGTTAATGGATGCTGATTCCTCTGCTCTTACCATCTCTGTCCTTGACTCAAGTCATGCCATGCACACGTGCTATTGATTGGTGCTACGGGGATTTTCTTGCAGCGATCAATGACACACATACACACACATTACACGCAGCTTCCTCCTCCATGATAAATCTCTCTGCTCTCAAAATGGTGTCACATAATGTGCTGGACTTCCCTCTGCTTGTGATGTTCATGTCTCTGATCCTGGCTTGGGCCTGTACAGATAGTTACAGAGTGACAGGAATGGGTTATATTTTTAACACTGTGCTCTTTCTTGTGTCTGCAGTGGAAAAAAAAAGCTCACAAGTCAGCGAGCATTTGATGAAAACGATCTCTTCTTTCAGTTTTATTTAACATTACAGTTACATTTAAATTGCCATGGTATTTAACAGTTAATGTCAAGGACTGGACCCGTTATATATGATTTTGTTGTATGTTAGGAATTAATTTGCATTGCATAAATGGCTCTCTAATGGCATTTAAGCTTGAGTATTATTGCTATTCTCTCATCATAGTATGCTGCAATATGTGATATACCTGATGACTGCCATTTATTACATTATTTATAATTACATAATGGCAGCCATATATTTAATAATTGATCAACTAAATCACCCCTTTGCACCTGCTGTGGTTTGTGTCTTCTTTGATGCAAAGATGGGGCTGCTTCTTTTGTGTCCATGATAATAAAAATGTCCCCAGATTACACCAAAGACCAGGGAATGTTCCCTCTGATAATTAGAAACACAGGGAAAAAACTGTGTATCATTTCATTACCAGGAAGAAAAATGGGGGCTATTCATCACCATCCTTGCATTTATTCATTAACCATTAAAAAAAAGAGTGTCATTTCTCCAGCAAGTGCCCATGAAAACCATTAAGCCTCGTTGATAGATATCCACGGGAAAATGTCACTCCTTCTCCAGCTTGCCTGAGAAAGTTCTGCCACCACAGAATAGCCGACTGGTTCGATAATCCTACACACCCTTCACCCTCCCACCCCCTCTATTCTACCACCCACATGCTGCTTTGATTTGAAAAGGTCATCATTTTCACATTAACTATCCATTATGTGTGAATGTGTTATACAGTATTATTGAATTGCCTGTGTTGGCTTGTGTTCAGAAACTGAGAAAATTCTATTAATTTAAGTATAGTAGGCCATCTGTGTGCTCTTGTTGAGGCTGTCCCTGTCTTTGTGGGTCACAAAATAGAGATGGACATAGATTTTTATCATAAATTAAAGCATATTTAGCTTTAGCTTGCCATTAGCGGAAGACACAACTGAATTCTAAGCTTGCTGATCAGATGCTTCTTAACCTGCAACTAGGGAGTAGTTTGTTGACCTTTTTACTTAAGGTTTATGTCAGGCATTTGGCTTTGACCTTTTGTTAAAGAGGCAAATATTTCCTAACATATTTTATAATCTTTTGTCCCAACTTAACCTCTTCTTGGTCATCCATGCCTTAGAAGTAATATTTCCTATGCAGAAAATGAGTGACTTTTGCCTCCTGAATCCCTGGTGTGGTGTAGCTTTGGTGGTATTTGGTGACATTCTAGCTTGTCTAACTGTGAAAAAGTCAAGATCTGACGACTGTATGAAGATATAATGGTCTTACTCTGAGAAAATGCCACTTTGAAAGCATGATTGACATATCTAAATCTGTTGGACAAAATCTTAAGATCCCCATGCTGTGAGCTGCAGAATGAATATAGACCTGGGAGAGATGATACCATAACAGGGAGCCAAGTGACCTCTGCACTGCAGGGCAAAATGTCAGGTGATGCCTCAGCGATAATGTCACTTGGATCAAGCGAACTGGAAATCGGATCTGTGCCCTTATTCATCACCCCTCTCAAGATTAGGAGCAGAAGTGCAGCATGCATAAGCATAAGTGCATAAGCACGCAGAGGCGCAATAGAAATGTGGGTAATGTTAGTAAATAAGACCAGATTAGTCAATGTAATGATAAGTAAATCCCTAGAAAGGTTAATTTAATGATGAGAAGGCACTGAGACTGTGTTGTGCGATGGATGGAGATGGTCAGCAGATCTTTCTCTGTGAGTTGTAGATTATCACATGACCGTCAGGTCAGAGCTTCAGAAGATGTCCTGGTGCAGTCTGAGGTCCTTGTCTCCATGCTGAGCCACTCAGTGGGATTAGGTTTCAGTCAGACAGTGGCCCTGAAACCTAAATCCAGATTAACAGCCCATCACCATGACTGTGGAAGCAACAGAATTACATTAGCCCACCTATCAGTCACACACACTCAACATGGGCTTACAAGCAGCCTGACTGCTGAAGGATTGTTTTGATAGATGTTCTGTGGCGGAATGTTTTTCATCAAATCATGCTGAGGTGACATGTTCAAGGCAACGTTTTCTCTTAGTTGTGTTTCAGGATGCCTCCAGGGTACTTTGCAGAGGCCTGAGGAAATGGTTTACGCACATATTAAAAACACTGACGTGACAATCACGCACAATAAATGTGGTGCTTATTGCTGCTATGTTGTAGTGCGGGGACGTTCATATATCAGGAAGCATGAAATCTTATACTTATTGCTTTATTACAATACTGATTGTCTAAACAAGTAGTTTCCAGCAAAACAAGTTTTGGCTAGAATGGTTAAATACATATTTTAGCAATGCAACAACTCTCTGGGCAAATCTGTTCTCTTCTGCAGCCAAAATCCTAATGAGGACATTATTCTTTATGATCAGTATGGCTCAAAATCTGCAGAAAGCCAGGATGATCTAGAAATGGCCTGATCTACAGACATGGGGCAAATGAAAAGTGTAGGGTACAACAACTTGTTGTTTTATCCTCCGTATCTTACCACGCCTCATCAACAAGGCCTTCTCTTGCGTAGTTTGATAAGAGAAAATACCCCCAAATGAACCAAAACTCAACTTTGATCACTGTTGGCCAACACCAAGGGCATCAGTGTACATGTTTGTGTTGCACTAATCATCTCATAGGGAGAGATTTTAGGTTTTAAACAAGATTGTAGAGCTCACAATCTTTACACTTGGATTAGTTCTCTGTGAGCTGCTTAGTAACAAGTTCCCTATGGGGTTGTCCGTGCACACTGCCCATTCACATGCTTACACACGTACACCAATGTGTGAGACATAGCTTTGACCTCCTGTGTGAATCTGAACTGAAATAAGCACCATCCTTGAAGTCTGATTGCTTCCCTGCAGCTGAAAGAGCTTTTTAGGACAAAATTACAGCTTTTGGGGGAAGCAATATGTGGAAGAAATAGTGACTGAAATATGACGTATCTAAATTAGCACTTGATATCTATAGTGTGAAGATGTGCTCTCCAAAAATCTGTCATCTGTTCTCAAGATAGATCTGTGATTGTATCACTCATCAGTGTGTGTGGCTGCTCGCGAGAGGTCACTGAACCTGGGTATATATAATCTCATGGTTATTTAATTCACATTAAAGCAGGATCATGAAAGAAGGCATGACTCAGAGTCACTTAAAAATATCCACCTTAAAAGTCTCTTCAATATAACCTATAACCCAAATCTTGACTTAAATATGTAGAAAAATTCTGCCAATTGGGTGAGATAATTCATGTTGTTACCAACATGGTTTCACTTTTGAGGGGCAAAGTAAGGCAAAAGAGTGGTGGAGAGCCAACTGCCCTGGGTCCCAGACTTCAAGGGGCCCCAAAACTTAGTCTGTTGTTTGTTTCGTTAGGGAATTGGCAATACTAAAACTCAGTATCAAGTCACATATATTCGTCATTATAGTCCAATCTTGTAGAGAGTATGGGGGGGGGCTGTGCTTAAATTTATAATTGTGTATAATCCAATTA